AAGGATGATTTCTCCTTCGACAAGGACTTAATCCATTATAACCAATTTGATTACAAATGCGCGGGCAACGGCTGGTGACTGACACATAATGACACGTTCAGGGATCCAATTGGATATAACATTCATTGAACCAATAGAATCAGATCCCTCAAGATCATCTACTAGGATTTCACAATGACCAACAACCATTGTCATCTTGAGATCAGACCTTCACTCAGTCACTCAAGGAACCTTCAGTGACATGTTCAGTGATCTGATTTAATGAATATAACAATAATTGAACCAATAAAACCATATCCCTTAAGATCATCTATTAGTATTTCCTATAATAACCAGCAGACATTGTCTTCTTGAGATCAGACATTCACTCAGCCACTCAAGGAACCTTTAATGATATGTGCAGTGATCTGATTTAAAGAATATAACAATCATTGACCTAATAGAATCAGATCCCTAAAGATCATCTATTAGGATTTCCTATAATGACCAACTGCCATTGTCTTATTAAGATCAGACCTTCACTCAGTCTCTCAAGGAAACAAGCAACAACAATTGATAAGGTTCTTGTGTTTACATTATTGCTTCTTCTAAGCATATTACACAAGTATTTTAAGCACATATTGTTTAACACATTTTCGAGCAACAATTCTAGTGTTAACATTTTTTACATGAAGAGATTCAAACTGAAACACAATACGAGCAACAACTTTTGTTTTTATTTAAATATTCTATCAAGATGTATATGATCATAAGTGGAGTAGCATCTTGTTGTGTTCTTCTTCTTCATCTTCTTGTTGAACAAGTTACAAGCAATAACTCCTTGAATATTATCTTGTAGTCTTCTTCTTTATCTTCCTTTCTTTTCTCTCATTTTTGTATAATAGTCTTCAGAATGTTTAGCACTGCAGCTTTGATATCTTCAACATCTACATCGTTTAAGCTTGATGGCCAACAACACTTGGCTTTGAATCTTTGATCCTCCTTTATAGCCTTCAGAGAGAGATGTTGTCAGGATAGAAAAGTCCTTTCCTGGAACAACAGTTAGTTCCAACGGATAGAATAAGGTGTAAGAGTTAGACAATATAAAATAATAGTTTTTGTATCCTGTCACTGTTCAATAATAACTTTCCACCTATCCTCTGAATAATGTTTTTATAATAAGCTTGTAAACAGAGATCTGTTGAGTAAAGAAAGATAGTTGGAAATATAGTTGTTTGTTCCCAACAATCACAATGAGAGTGGTTGAAAATACAGTACAAAAGGACTGTCCTTACGCCACCCTAGAGGGTAGAGGTCACAAACACTTTATGTACCTTTTGTACACCATCACACATTAACTATTTTGAACTTCTTCTAATCTTCAGAGGCTTCAGATAATTTGAATATTAAAGCTTGTTGTAGAAGAATCACACTTTAAGTCTTAGAACCTAAGTCTTGGAGTCTTTAGAGCTTGTCCTATCAGAACCTTATCTTCAAAGTCTTCGGCACTTAGTCATAAGAACTTTCTTGTCTTAATATCACCAGAACTTGTTTAGTAGAACCTCGTCTTCATAATCTTAAGAACTTTGTAACACATCGAAGTAAAGCTTTAGAAGGCCTCCAAAAATTAGCGATAAAGTCACGGTCATAACCTCTTGTACTAAAGTTCCTAAGACATGTCGTAGAAGATGTATTCATAATCTTGACTTCAACTATAACATGTAACCACATATTTTATTCCAGTAGTGTATGTTCAGAACCTGATGACATCACACGCCTTGATACCAGAGTCAGAACATTACAACAGTAGCTACACACTAAAACAAACCATTAGAGTATACAATTGTTCTTAAAGATAACATGTAAAGTTATCATCAAAATCTTAAGGCTAGATGTAGAAACACTTCTTGTTCTTACATGTTCTCTGTGATTTTATCATAGATCTTAAAATCTCAAGACAAATGGGTTCAATCTCTTTGATATTATGAAGGCTTAAGGTTGGGAAACATATTTTGATCGCTTAAAAGGTCTAGTTTATCCTGAACTTGTCAAGGACTTTTGGATACATGTGTATGTATCAACAATTGGTTACATTTGCTTTAAAGTTATGGGGAAGGACATCTGCATTCGTGAAAATGACATTGTAAAACTTCTTCAACACGATGGTACTAGCATTAGGTGCTTTGGGATACAAACCTTGTTGAAGAATATGTCTGAGTTATCTATCTAAAATAAGTTATCTAAGATTTGTCCATTTATTTTTCTTAATGGAAAGGATTCGAATCGAGTTAAGAATCTTCAATAAAATCCAAGAATCTGGTTCAAAAATGGTATCGGTTGCATCAATTAACATCCAACACATACGTTTAACAAGTTCTTAAGATTATATCAACATCGATTAAAATTATGTGTTATACTACATGACTACTGGAGAAAAACTTCATCTGCCAGCAATCCTGCTCAAATATTTGACAAACATCATCAAGGAAACAAGATATGGTTGTGTTAAGAAAAGTCTCTGGATTCCTATGGGTAGTTTGATTTCAGACATCTTGGTTGAAAGCAAGCTTGTGGATTCTCTGAATCTACAAAGGAAACTGGATTTTTAGATTGGCAATAATCTGGACAGAAGAAATCTAAAGAACATGAACTTGATCTTTGAAGTCGCTGTTCTTCCAGATGCGTTAGATAAAATTTCTATCTCCTCAAGAAGAATTGTTGAGGAAGAGTTTCCTGGGTTAAATCTTGCAACTACGCCAAAAACTGCTTTTGCCAGCGCCTCTACTAAAGCGCTTATTGAAAAAGCGCTGCCATAGCCTTCACAAAAAACAAAATTAAAAAAAAGGGAAACCTACGAAGGCGCTTTTTTAAAAGCGCTGGCATAGGTGGGGGATACGAAAGCGCTGCCATAGCCTTCACAAAAAACAAAATTAAAAAAAGGGAAACCTACGAAGGCGCTTTTTTAAAAGCGCTGGCATAGGTGGGGGATACGAAAGCGCTTTTTTAAAAGCGCTGGCATAGGTGGGGGATATGAAGGCGCTTTTTAACAAGCGCTGGCATAGGTGGGGGATACGAAAGCGCTTTTATAAAAGCGCTGGCATAGGTGGGGGATATGAAGGCGCTTTTTAAAAAGCGCTGGCATAGGGGGGGATACGAAAGCGCTTGTTTAAAAGCGCTGGCATAGGTTAGTTAAATAATTTCTAAACCCCTAAATTTACAATCAGTTTTCTAAACCCAGCTGATACAAAAAACGAAACCCAGTTGTTCATCTTCTTCTCCATTCGTCTGCTCCTATTCAAGCTCTCTTCATCCTTCGTCGTCCTCACTTTCATAACAACCTTTGATTCTACTGTAATTTTGATTCAGGTGTAATTTGCATCCAAAAAACCCATCAAACTGTAATTTACATTCAGGTGTTGTTTCTTTCCCATTCAATTTCATCTCAACATTGATTCATCATCACCCACTCTAACTACTTTACTTTATTACATTAATTAGGGTTTCGTTCTCAAAGTTTCTTGTTATTACAAAACCCTTCAACAGTTAGCAAGAACGAAACCCAAGGGATTTTGAAGGTTGGCTGTTACTTGTTAGAGGAAAGATCTAAAAGTTCATTTCACTTTTTCCATTTCTTTGGTTTGAGGTAAGAATTCTTACTCATTTTTCTTAGTTTTAGATATTGCATATTAACTGTTTGTGAAATGTTCTACATGATTGTTCCTAATTAAGGGTATGTTAGAGGGTTAGGAAAATGAAGTTGGATTTACGGGTCCTAATTTTAGGTGTATACTAGCTTAAAATTCACAAGTACTTAAGTTGTTGGTGTTCATTTGTGTTTTTCCGTCTTTTAGATGATTTGTGTGTGATTAATCGTTAAGACATTCATATATTGTCAGTCATCGATAGTAAAAATGTCAAAGGCAACACTTAGTACGGATCCGGTAAAAAAAGTCTGGGAAGAACGATGTTGGAATTTGGTATTTGTATTGTAATAGATTGTAGAACAGATAAAAGGAGTCGGATAGTAGTGTTACGTTATCGAAACTGAATAAAAGATGCACCTATCAACTGTGAGATTTGTGCAAAGAAGAGAAGCAATATTTTCAAACTTTATGGACTGTACTAAGAGGGTGTGAGTTATGCTTGGAGATACTTCAAGTGGGATTATAAATTTCTAATCCTATCTACACTGTAGACAAAAGAATTAATCACACAAAGGAAATTATAACATTACTACTAAAAAAGTTATAGCTAAGAAAATGTTTTAATAGGCTTGTATATTTTGCATATAAGTCTTACTGAGATTTTTATCTCATTAGTTTAAGTTTATATTTCAGCTTAAGTGCTTAACAGGACAGATAGATTACATATAGATTACATGTGGTTTTCACAGAATGATGCTCCATAAATTTTTCACAGAATGATGGCATGGTACAAGACTATTGAGTTAGGGAACCATCTGGGATTGGGCAGGGAAGGAATGTTAATGAGTATAATACTAGGTGAGGGATAAGATGAGGATAAGAGGGATAGAGATAAACCTAATGATGAGTTTCATATGATTGTCTAGGTTGTAAATTTGGAAATCTATAAGGAGAAATGATTAGATGCAGTGGAATTAACATAAGGGGATCATTGAGATGTGAAATCTTATCCTACATGCAATATTAAGGAAAATCATATAGACCATAATTAGAGTTTACAAAACATTTGTTTACTCAGTTACAGCAACCAAACTTTCATAACCCCTGATTATTACTCAAACAATAGTGAAATTATGTCACCTTCAGGCATCAAACTTGTTTCTTGAAGTTAAATGATTAAGCAGCAGAGCAGGGTATCAACAAACATGATATAAGAACAGATATAATTAGGGTTAAGCTTTGTTGAAGAAAGAATATGACTAAAGTAGGCGGTGCCAAAAAGCTTCAACCCAAGTAGTTATAAAAAGATTTTATATTTATCATAAATCTCATTGACAAAATCTTCACTTAGAAAAAAAAATGCATACAACAAAAGTTTCAATTAAGTCTGAAGGAGTATGAACAAAGTGAACACACCCTTGAGATTATTGCTGTTCCAGAATAACCAAGCTTAGAAACACTACATGTCCAAAAGCTGTTCTCATAGCCATCTAGCAGTCGCTGTTTTATTTCCTCGATATCCTTCTCCTGTTAGCAAAACCAGAGCACTCATAAATTGGAGAGAAAATGGCCTCTAAAGAATTTTCAAATAAACACAAACGTCATGGTTGATAGATTTTATCAGGCAGCAAGACTGTCAGAAGTAGCTTCTCCCAATTTATTCTTTCTACCTGAAGTTTAGTCTCTTGCAAGCACAATACATCGAAGTCTTCCCTTTGAGCAAGTTGAAGTGCTGAGAATCCCTCTAATTTTAGCAATGCTCTCAATCCATTGACATTCCAAGACAAAAGCTTGACAAATTTTGTATCCCTAGAAAGAGGCAGGGGTCTCATGGTTCTAGGATTATATGCAATCCAATCCTTTTGAGGTTTCTTGTGAGCAAGAACAGCCCATGTTTCAGTTTGAATAGTGGTTGTTGTACTGATTTCATCTGATTGTGCTACAATGATAACAACATCTGAAGACACTTTTCTCTTCGCCCTAGAAGGCTTAACATCTGACAAAAACAGCCATAGACGATTAATTTAATCACTGCATGAATTACACTTGAACAAAAATTGACAAGCCATGAGACCAATAGAGAGAGACAAAGAATTATGCTAAATATTTCAGAATAGAAAGTTTAGAACACAACCTGAAACCTCGTCTGATTTAACCAACAGCTTCTTTTTGGTTGTCGCTTTGACAATTTTTCTTTCAGGTTCTGATTGTTTAAACCTTTTCTTACCCTGGTTAAGTTCAACTGTCTCTGGAGTATCATTAACATCATCGACGGGCTCTTCACCCGACACCTTTTTGGCTTTCATTTCTGAAGACGTATTTTCAGAAGAAATAAACAGCCCTTGTTCGTCTTTAATTTGAGAATCTTGTTCTGCAGAACACAAAAAAGGCACCATGAAAGTCTTCAAGGCAGACAAAAGATCCTCTTTACGACCTTTGGCGGGAACCCCTATACTCCTGAGAATTGAAAATCATTCTGGTTGAAACTAGAGGCAGAACATTTTAAGGGTAAAAAAGCATATCTACTTACTTTAATGTGTTGCGGAGTTGGGGAACAGTCATGGTGTCTACAATAGACGGATCATTTCTTAACATTTCAACCTCAATGGAATAGCTATCAACATCATTTTCCTATATTATCAAACATATAGTGAATAATCAAAAAGAAATAGAGACAAAAATGAGAGTATGAATGAAACATGAATCAGACCTTAACAATAACATGGTTAGAAATGGGTTGTTGTGAACTTGAAAAGGGTGTTTTCAGTCTTTTAGACCCCATTGGTTTCACAGGTATAGAACTCTTGGAACTGAAACGCTTCTGAATACTACAAAACTACAACATTATTACTCAGTTACAGCAACCAAACATTTATTCCCGAGAAAAAAAAACAAATGTATATAACCCCTGATTATTACTCAGTTACAGCAACCAAACATTTTATATTTTCAAAACATTATTACTCAGTTACAGCAACCAAACTTTCATAACCCCTGATTATTACAAAACATCTTTCATACTTTAAGGCTTGAACTTCCTGTATGGTCTGCCGTTATCTTCATCTTGCATATGCTGTAATCATAAATTAAAAAAGTCATGTCTAGGTGCAAAGAAAATCAAGATGAATTGAAAACTATAGAGCGTCATTTAACAATTAACAATACATTGCTTTTAAAATTTGATTTGAACCTAACTAAGACTTGACAAAGCTAACTTGTAAGATAAGGACTGAATATAATTGTTTGAAATCCGACTTCACTATTGTTTGAATATAATTGTTATTACCTGTATCCAAGACTGAATCACTAGTATCCGACTTCACTAGTTAGTAATTAGTGATGAGTTGTTTAGCACATGCTTAAGGTGAGGCAAGAATAACTATGAATTTGATTACCTGATATGTTGAATTTCTTTACAGGTAATTAATTATTATTTTTCTATAGTTGCGTGACTAATTAGTTGCTATAGTCAAACCATGGATAAAAAATGGATGACTGCCAATCGATTGTCGAAAGAGTATGAGGATGGGGTATCAGAATTCGTTAAGTTTGCCGTTGCGCATGCCAGAGAACCCAATGGAATGATATGTCCTTGCTTGAGATGCTGTTATGGGAGACGGGTTGACGCGGTTCAGTTGGAATCGCATTTACTGATGCATGGAATTGATAGAAGTTATGCATGTTGGAATTTGCATGGTGAGAAAAGTAGCGGGAATGTTGAATCGAGTTATAATACGACGTATGCTTCAAATGAGGATTTCGCAGACGCATACGATTATGATCGAGTCGAAGAGATTGCAGAAGCGCTTGAAGAAGATCTTGAGGATTGTCCCAAAATGTTCGAGAGGTTGGTAAGCGATGCAGAGAAACCGTTGTATGATGGTTGTACAAAATTCACAAGATTGTCTGCGGTGTTAAAGTTGTACAACTTAAAGGCGGACAACGGATGGTCGGATAAAAGTTTCACACAGTTATTAGCCCTCGTGAAAGAAATGCTACCAGAGGATAATGTTCTTCCCAATCGAACGTATGAGGCCAAAAAGATGTTGTCCTCTATTGGCATGAGCTATGAAAAGATACATGCATGTCCAAAAGATTGCGTTTTATTTCGAAACGAGTACGCAGTGTTAAATGAGTGTCCTAAATGCGGTGCCCCTCGATATAAGGAAAAGTTGTCTCCGGAAAAGGTGTTATGGTATTTTCCTATAATTCCGAGATTTAGGCGCATGTATCGTAGTGAGACCGATTCAAGACACTTGACTTGGCATGCAGATGAAAGAATTATTGATGGGAAGTTGCGACATCCGGCAGACTCACCACAGTGGACGAAAGTTGATATTGATTATCCTGAATTTGGAAAAGAAGCAAGAAATCTTCGCTTGTCGTTGTCTACTGATGGAATGAACCCGCATGGTATTCAAAGTATCTCGCATAGCACCTGGCCTGTGATTCTTATGATATATAACCTACCTCCGTGGCTATGTATGAAGCGTAAGTACATGATGCTATCTATGTTAATTTCTGGGCCCAAACAACCAGGGAATGACATAGACGTGTACTTGGCACCCTTAGTCGAAGATTTGAAGTTTTTGTGGGAGACCGGTGTGGAGGTTTACGATGGGTATAGGAAAGAAAGTTTCAACTTGAGGGCGATGTTGTTTGGAACAATTAATGATTTTCCGGCGTACGGAAATCTATCAGGGTACAACATTAAGGGTCAAAAAGCGTGTCCTGTTTGTGAAGATGAAACCGATACGATGCGATTGAACTTTTGTCAGAAGAATGTTTTTCTCGGTCATCGTAGATTCTTAAATTCTAATCATCACTATCGTGGGTGGAGAAAGGCATTCAATGGAGAGGCAGAACACGGTAGAGCTCCACATATGTTGACAGGTGATCAGATTTTTGAAAAGGTGAAAGATGTGAGTACTGAGTTTGGCAAGCCTTTTGCACATAGACTTGTCACGAGTGGGTGGAAGAAGAGGTCGATTTTTTTTGAACTTCCATATTGGAAGTCGTTGTACGTAAGACATTTCCTCGATGTTATGCATATTGAAAAAAATGTATTTGATAGTGTCATTGGTACGTTACTCAATATACAAGGAAAGTCTAAGGATGGCATTAACATAAGGAAGGACATGTTAAACATGGGAATTAGAACTGAATTGGCACCCGTGACGAAAGGAAGACGCACATATCTACCACCTGCTGTTTACACTCTATCTAGAAAGGAGAAGAAAATATTGTGTAAGTTCCTCAGTGAAGTTAAAGTTCCAGAAGGCTACTCATCAGATATTAGAAGACTTGTGTCAATGAAAGACCTAAAGTTAAAGAGTTTAAAGACTCATGATTGCCATGTTATAATGGAACATTTTCTACCAATAGGTATACGTTCTATTCTGCCAGAAAAAGTAAGGAGCGCAATAACTAAGTTGTGTTTTTTCTTCAAGTCAATATGCAGCAAGGTGATCGATCCTGCGATCTTACCAACATTGCAAAAAGAGGTGGTTGTTACTTTATGTGAGCTTGAAATGTATTTTCCTCCCTCGTTTTTTGACATAATGGTTCATCTAGTCGTTCATCTTGTCAAAGAGACACAGTTGTGCGGACCAGCTTATATGAGATGGATGTACCCTGCTGAACGTTATATGAAAATTTTAAAAGGGTACGTGAAAAACCGAAGTCGACCGGAGGGTTGTATTGCGGAACGATACATTGTTGAAGAAGCGGTTGAGTTTTGCACTGAATATCTGTCAAATGTTCAATCAATTGGACTCCCCAAATCTCATATTGTCGAGAAAAAAGAAGGAAAAAGACTAATTGGAAATAAAGTTGTGACAGTGTCAATGGTCGAACGGGATCAGGTGCATTTGTATGTTCTGCACAATGAGATTGAGGTTGAGCCGTATGCTGAAATGCACAAGGGTGTTCTTCGAGGTTTAAATCTGAATAGAAATGAGAATTGGATAGTACGAGAGCACAATCGAAGTTTCATACCGTGGTTTAAGGAACAAATTTATTCAAAGTATCGTTCGGATCCTGCTTCAGTAACAGAAAGGTTGAGATGTTTAGCATATGGTCCAAGTATGATTGTGTTTTCTTATAGCGCATACGCAATTAATGGATACACATTTTATACCAAAGAACAGGATGATAAAAGTACTATGCAGAATAGTGGTGTTACCTTGGTAGCTGAAGCGATGCACATATCAAGTGCGAATGACTTAAACCCGAAATTTGCAAATCTGTCATATTTTGGGGTTATCGAGCACATTTTGTTGTTTGATTACGGGAAGTTTCAGATTCCTGTATTTGATTGCAAGTGGGTTGAAAATAATAATGGCGTACGAATGGATAAGTCAGGATTTTTGCAAGTGGATCTCAATAGGGTGGGGTACAAAGATGAACCTTTTATTCTAGCCTCTCAGGCTAAACAAGTGTTCTATGTCAATGATCCAACGAGTACGAAATGGTCTATAGTGCTTTTGTCTAACAAAGTAATTGATGAAAACATTGGAGATCAAGGTGATATTGGCGTTGGCATTGAATCTTGTACAAGAAACGATCAAAATGAGAATGAACCTTGTACTAGAGATGATCATAATGAGGGTATTTGGATCAATCCAACCATCCGAGTTGTTAACAGAAGCGTAAAATATATTGCTACCAAGAAAAGAAAGAGACGTTAGTGAAAAAGGTATTATTATAATTATAGCCTAATATTGTAAGTAATATGTGAATAATGTTTTGAATTTTTGGCATATCTTTTGAACCGTTTTGAATTTTTGCGAATGTGCTTGTGCTTAATTAGTAGAACAATGTTTCCGGAGCTGATGGTGAGGTTTATTTCTTGCAAGTTTGGTTTTTTAGCATTTTATTCAATTTTGAGTTCCTTTAGTGCTATTCATATCTTTTTCGACTATCCATTTTCATGTAGTGTACTAATGTGCTTGTTTGACTTTTGTTACAGGTCTAATGGCTAGCAATGAAGAAAACCCGCAAGGAAACCAACAAGAAAACCCACCAGGAAACCAACAAGATCATGAAAACTCACAAGAAACAAATCATGCAGCGGATGATACTTCAGCAAATGATGTTGCACGAGGCATCACCATAATGCGCGAAATCATTCGTGCTAGAGATAAGGGAGTGAAATATAATGTAGATTGGAATCATTCAAATCAAGTAGTTGGGGTTAATGCTTCAAAATTCACAAGCTACGTTGGTACACTTGTTCGTATGCATGTGCCAATCTCCATATCTAGATGGAATGCGAAACAATGTGAAGCATTGAAGCAAGGAAAAGAAATGTTTTGGGAAGATGTTAAGGTATGTATGTTATATGGTTTATATGGTTATATGTTTATAAGTTTATAAGTTTATATGTTGTATATGGTTTTTAAACTACTTATATGTTTATATGGTTTATATGGTTTTTAAATTACTTATATGTTTATATGGTTTATACGCAGCGGTCTTTTAACGTTCCAGATGAGCGTAAAGGCTTCATACTTGGGTTGGCCGGGAAAAGATTTAGAGGGTGGAAAAATCTGTTGACGAACACCTATCTTAAGGATGACAAAGGAAAGTGGCTGGAAGAGTTCCCGGCCGGAAGGCCAGAAAAGTATAATCTTTTCATTAAACAAGAAGATTGGACTGAGTTTATTAGACAAAGAGATGACGAATTCCGGCAAAAGAGTGCCAAAAATAGTGAGAGAGCATCAAAGCCCGCGTACCCATACAAAAAAGGGCGTTTGGGATATGCGCGCTTAGAGGAAAAAA